CCTCCCCGCGAGGGTGGGATCGCTCCGAATTGCCCCCCCGAGAGCGGGAAGGGTCTCCAGGGGGGTCCCCGGTGGGCGTGCCCACCTCCCCCCCCGTGGCTGCGGGCGCCGGTGGCGTCTGATTGCAGCAGGCGAGGCGGGATTCTGACATCATCGGGCTCTAATGCGCAGCCCCCTCCCCCCCCAAAAATAATAATTAAGGAGTAATGATCAGATAGATACCAAGGGCTTCTGTGATTCAAGGTAGTCCGTCAATCCTGTCTCCGAAACTTGGGTTGATCTAGAATAGATAGATCTTTCTCTTCGGTCAGTGATTGAATTTAATAGCCTTAAAAGGATGAAAGCCGGGTTCCTAAGAGAGCGTCTGTATAGGACCATCACGTGTCCCAACACTAAACTCTCCCGGGACGTGTTTCAGACCGGTAAAGAAAGAGCAGAAAGCATCGGAAATGGTTATTTCGTTCATGTTTGCCCTTAGGACCTTGACAAAAGTCGAAAGGGTTGGATTGTGTTGACTAGTAGTGCTGTCTTGTAAGTAGGGATCTTATAATGCTGTTACCGGTTGGTTTACACCCGTAGCATCTTACACCTACGGTACTACAGTATTGCAAAGTTATAGTTGGCAGTATATTCGAAGTATATGTTAAGCCATTGGTTTTTATGTTTCTGTAAATTGCGAACCTAACCCTTATATTATTTAGCGAAGAAACCATTATGAAGTATGATTGGATTATTTACTTTTAAAACTGGGTATCACAATGCGAATTGTGAAGTCACAGAACAGTATAATAAAATGCCAGTTTCTTACATTTTTAGGAAATGGAAGATAAGGTGGTTAGTCCTGAGAAGGCTGAAGAAGCGAAGTTGAAAGCAAGATATCCTCATCTGGGCCAAAAGCCTGGGGGCTCAGATTTTTTGAGGAAGAGACTTCAGAAAGGAGTGAGTTAAAAAGCTAACCTACCTAATAAAGGGAGATGTTTTAATTTATCTTTGTTTGCTCTGAAACTAAAACCTATATCCTAGCAGAATAGCATACAGAATATTCAAACAATGCATTTAATTTATCTTCAAGGATACAAATGAATGCTGTAGATCCCTCTTTGTGGTACTTTATGCATTTTGTTCATAATGAATGCTTTCTTGGCCTGGGATTGCAATACTAAATACCCTATTCATTAATGTGAGCAGGATGTTGTAAGCAGTTCTAACTATCAAGTGATAACAAAACTAGTGTTCCCCCTTTTAACCCATTTTGTCTCCATTGGATGAGTTTTTCCTGGTAAGGATTAACTTAAACCTTTTATTCTGTGTATGCGTCAGCTTGATTCTGAAGCATGTATGTAATTCTTGAAGGAACTACGTTATATTTGTATTATATTTCACTTGATACATTTATCTTGCAGCAAAAGTACTTTGATTCTGGGGATTACAATATGGCGAAAGCAAAGATGAAGAACAAGCAGCTTCCTACTGCAGCTCCTGATAAGACTGAAGTCACAGGTGACCATATTCCTACTCCACAGGACCTTCCACAGCGGAAACCATCTCTTGTTGCTAGCAAGCTGGCTGGCTGACTAGGCTGGCAGAACTGCATGAAACTTCTTATTCCCTTACTCTTTCCTTAAGTTTTATTTCTTCACATTTTTGTTTCCACTAAGTCAGGGGTCCTCAACCTTGGCAACTTTAAGACTTGTGGACTTCAACTCCCAGAATTCCTCAGCCAGCTTGGCAAAGCTGGCTGAGGAATTCTGGGAGTTGAAGTCCACAAGTCTTAAAGTTGCCAAGGTTGAGGACCCCTGCAGTAAGTCATTGACTGACTGCTTGGCAGGTAGTGGTAGCGTGTGCTGCTATTGTTAAGAGTCCATTTAAGAATTGCATAATCCTTGGATGAGTTGAGAACAATGCACTGATTTTTTTTTTTAAAAAAGGACATGTTTTGTTAGAGCAATGTAATCTACTTGAAAAATGTACATATTACCCGTTTGCTAGTGTAGGGCTGGTTCCAGCAAGTGACAAAGCAAGTTTGAAAAATTTTAATGTTTTGGCGTTCCTTAGTTCACTTTAATTACAGTGTAATATGTTTGTATCAAATACAAGTTCCTTTTTTTTTCTTGTGTTTTGGTTTTGTAAAGTAGAGGTTTTAGACAGTAAGTTCCTAGAAGGCAAAGCATGTATTAAAAATGATGGGGCTCTCACTAAATTTGTGTATCTACTCATGAACTTGAATGGCCTTAAACCTACTTCAGCTTTAACAATAGATTTTTACTTGAGCAATATTTGCTCATTTTGGTGTAATTCTTGTAAACTTTGTGCTTATTGACAACTGTCTGTTGAAGCTGGTATTCTTTTTGGTCCTGTAGCATAGAACACATTTTTAAAGTGGATGAAGTATGCATATGCATAGACTGCATTCACTTTTGTGCCATGTCTGTAAATAAGATAGTTTTGCACAATTTTTGCAAATATGTTAACTACACTTTTAAAAATGTGCCAACTAGAAGCACAAATTCTGTCTTGGAAAATCATCATACTTATTTGAATCAAAACCTCCTTAGCGAAAAGTAATAGACTTGTATGCTTAAAATCTGGAAAGTGTTGAAGCACTATGGATAAATCAGCTTTACCAATACATTTTCCCGTTAATTGATGCAATGTTCAGTACAAATATTTTCTCTATATATACAAAATAGTTTATCTGAAATGTTCTATTCATTTCAAGGGACTAAATTTAAACACATTAAACTTAAAAAAAATTAAACACATTTTAAATCACCCTATATAGGGACTTCCAGCACTACTGTATTTCTTCAGCACATTTGAAGATCTCTTTTTAAAATTAAATGCAAGAAGTTTAAAACATGAAATTATGGATATATCTGTGCTGCTACTGGAGGCCTCCAACATTATAAAAACAGCATCTGCTATTTTAGGAGTAGTTAAAAAAGAATACAAGCTCTTTTTAGATTAAGAAGTAAAGATGGTATTGGCTAGATTTGATATGTTCTAAAATTATGATGTTTTGTAAGATAAGAGTGCTTTGTCATTGTATATTATAAATATGAAAGCAAAAGCAATCGTATCTTGGATATAATTGGCTACCTATACCACATATAAAAATTAACAACAAAAATACTATTTTGTCTGTCTTAAAATCTCAGATTTATTTGACATTCTCACGCTGGAAGATTTTTGTATAGTTTGAGAGATTTGACATTAGGCAATAGAAGTTGGATTTTTCCAAGAATAGTCTCTGAAAGTAATAAATTTCTGCTGAGCATCTTTTACAAATAAATTCAACATTCATACAAAGAGTAAATCAACATTTTCGAAGGTATTGGACGTAGCCTTGCTACATCTCAAATTTTAAAAAGTTACTTTATACTGATCTGAATTACTGTTAGCTGCATGGGTGACATCTGGATAATTTGTAATTTCTAGTTTATTTGGGAGGGCTATTTTGTCACTTCTCCCCTAAAGCTATATTTTTTTCTTTTGTCTGGGTAGTAATGACATGATATCTATTCTTGCTATAATCTGCTTCAATTTTATGTCCCAGTTGTATTGCAATTTGAATACTGTGAGCAGTAAAATCGGCACCAGTAAAGATACTTTGTAGGGATAGAACTGAGAACCCAGTATCTGATTCACAAATATGTAACATTTAATGGAAGCTGTTCCAACAAACATTCAGTTTATTTTTTAAATTAAGAGGTCGACCTTGTTGACTACCTTAAAATGATTTCCTAACAGATTGCTGCAGATTATAGTAAGGGGAATTTGTTTGCTGGGTAAGGAAGTATATAAACTATGTCAATCTAAACATTCCATTCTCCTGCTTACAAGTTATATTTTTGTATTGATATGACTGGGCAAATGTTAATGATACAAAAAACATAAGCTGAGCAATTATAAGAGTATCTATTCCAGTACCAGTCTGCTTTGATAATGAATCTCTGTCTCTAATAAACCTCAGCAACTGAAGATAGGTTGTTCTATATTAAGGATGCAAATAGTTTGATCAGTAATAATTTCTCAGAAGAGAGAATGGACATCTGAGCTGCAGCTTATTTCAACAAGATAAAGCTGTTATGTTTGTATATAGACTGTATAATATGAGTTTTGCCATTTGATACCTTTTTCAGAGATCTGCACTACAGCCTAACAATCTGCTTTAGGCAGTGATTAGTATTGCTCAAGGATGTCTGTACTCAAAATAGGTAACAGCTTCCTAACTCTTCCCCAGGAGTTCAGTAATTGTGTGTCAAGTGATAAAATTTTTCCTGCTTCTGCTCCATCCACCGACTTTGCCCATTGTTACAAGAATCTATGTGTGAACATGTGTATGCAGAGGCCACCTTAAGAATTGCTCGGTCTGATAAGTTCTTTGATGCATTCCATAACCTGAGGCAATGAAGATTTCAGATGCTCCCTACAGCTTTCAATCTGTGTAATATGCATAATAAATACAATTAATTTGTTTTCACTGCTCTGTAGAAACTTTGTTTGGTGTTTTACTGAGTCACTCCATACCCACAATAACTGCCTTGACTAAAAGCATTGGTTTCCATGGAATTAATTTTGTATTAAGGAAAAAGCTTCTGTTTTCTAATATGTATTCAATATTAAACCTATAATGTTCCTGACTGTAACTCTATATACTGTATACCTCAGTTCTTATTTTTCTAAAAATTGTATTAAATGTTATGATTTGATTTTAATACACTAATAGGCTTGTTTCTATGCAATTCATTTATGAAAATTGATTCTGAAAATTAATCCACGAACCATCAGAATGGATTCTTCAGACAAATCCCTGAAGGAGCAGGAACTATGTAAATTCTTTATAGTGTCTCGACTTCGTCTGGTATTTTCTAACACAAAATTGCAGGTTCATCTTTGTTTTTGTCCGCTGTATACCCTCTTTCTAGATACGATAGCACATTGGTATCTGACGTATTTGTAATTTTGGTAAACCGTGAAGAAGCTGAATTGCTCCTGCATAACTAACCTTAGCTCTTTTAACTATTTGAATAGAAATATCTTCTACTTATTGATCAAACCAGAAGAATAGGGTCTATTCCAGTTGGTAAGAGATGATGGCAACACCATCCACCATCAGGGTAAAAAAAATAAATCAGCCTAATTATGCCTTGTGGAAAGGAGGAGGTGGTCATGGTCAACAGATAACACCAAACATCAGGAAGTGGTCACATCAGACTCCTACTTTTCTCTCAAAAGGGTGACTCAATGGGTCATAGGTTGTCTTGGAATTTATTTTGTGGACTTCATTAAGAAACCTAATGGATGGACTTTGTTGGATTAAACTTAGTAGAAGCCCGATATTTTGTTGAGCACAAATTGGCCATGTGTACAAAACAGACTGGATATCAAATTTACCACTGGTGCTTTAGCTTACTATACAGTATTAGACCCAGCTTGTGTGATTATTCAGGATATTGTACAAAAGAAAAAAAATGGACTGACAGCAGGTGGCAGCACTTCTCCATGACTGATCTTGAAAAAGCTAAGTAGGGTTGGCTTTGATTGCTACTTGGAGACTGCTTAACCCAAAAAAGCAACAGTACAATGGGTGCATATGTATGCGTATGGCTTATTTAATGGTGGCATGATCCTGCTAAAACACTTTAATGGGTACGAGCTGAAGATGGGGATGCCTGGTTTAGGAGGATGGAGGAAGTGAACCCAAGTATCCCAACACACAGAGCCATTATAATGGCTAAATCAGGTTCTATAAGTAGTCCTTGATGTACAATCATTCATTTAGTGACCAAAGTTACAACTGAACTGAAAAAAAATGACTTATGACCAGTTTTCACAGTTGCAACCATTGCAGCCTCCCCATGATTACATAATCAACATTTGGGTGCTTGACAACTGGCATGTATTCCCACAAGCCAAGTTGGGGGGGGGAAGCCAAATTCGTTTAACAACCATACAATTTCCTTAACTACAGTGATTTGCCTAACAACTATGGCAAAAAGGTAGTAAAATGGGGCAAAACACCGCCTTAACAATAGACAATTGTGGTCTCAAGTATAATTTGTCCCTGGTAACCTGTAACTCAGATTATACTAGCCTCATCTTCCCTCCACCACCCAAATACAGGTAGTCCTTGACTTACGACCATAATCAAGCCCCAAATTTCTGTTGTTAAGTGAGACATTTGTTGTGGGTTTTGCCTCATTTTATGACCTTTCTTGCCACAGTTGATAAGTGAATTACTGCAGTAGATAAATTAATAACCTGGTTGTTAAGTGAATTTGGCTTCCCCATTGACTTTGCTTGTTAGAAGATTGCAAAGGGGGATCATGTGACCCCGGGACACTGCAACGGTCATAAATATGAACCAGTTACCATGTCTTAAATCTTGATCATGTGACCCTGGAGATGCTGCAAAGGTCGTGTGAAAAACGACCCTAAGTCACTTTTTCCAGTGCCCTTTGTAACTTTGAACGGTCATTAAATGAAATGTTGTAAATTGAGGACTATCTGTATTAAAGCCAGCAGGGCAGGGTGCAGGACAGTCCCCTCCAGGACTGAGACGCTTACTGGCCACGGCTTCCCCCTGATGGATGAGTCTCACTGGGTCTTACAGAGGATTTTCTTT